CATAGTTGATGTTTTTTAATTCACGGTAGTTATTATCTTTATTGATGCTTCAGCTGTCCCATCTTTGACCAGCGGCACTTATTCAGGTTTGGATCCTGCATTCTTTCTTTAATATGAGAAAATAAAATTTTAATACATGTGCATGGGGAATTCACATAAACATGAAACTTTCAAAGATTCTGAGGCAACATTGGGTATGTATGACATTTTGGACAAAGGAGAAAAGGGGGGCGGGGGCGAGGGTGGGACAAGGTATTCGATCCCTGAATTCTTTCTGACGTGACCCTAGTAATCTTTATTGCTTTCTGGTATGACAAAATGTTCCAAGATAATGTAAATTTTATGCCCCAGACCTGGAATGAACTGTTTTTCCAAAAAGCCCTGGTTACTTCTGGTACCTAGGAAATGGTATTTACAGGTCACAATCCCAGCATGAGCAGTGCTCATTGCTACTGGATTAGTAGTTGGTTCTTTTTAGTGGACAGAGCTAGGAAATTCACACATGTGCATATGTATGTATATATGTGTGTGTGTGTGTGCACCATAAATATATATTATACATATATATTTAAAGGTAATATACATTTATATAAATTTAAATATATATTTAAAGATAAAATATCTTATGAGTTCATACTGATCCTAGCAATTCAAATTCAGGAACAGAGCTTTTCCTTTAACCTTATCAGTGATCTTACATCAATATTTCCTTGCATCATGTTGAAAAATCTCTAGTCTCAGTGACCTCAACGTATTATCTCATTTGACTTATCCCACAACAATCTCAAAATAACGATGATTACTAAAAACAGGATTTTTGATTTGTTGTTGTTGATAGGGACCATCCCCCTAAGGGGTATACATTCAAATGACTGGGGGTGCTTACTCTGCATGCTAACGCTACCAAGTGAATACACAGGCTCATTTATCTCATTTTACTTTTAATTTCTAGGGATTTTATTACAAATATATTTTGTTTTATAATTATATAAAATATCTACATGGTCCCAAAGTCAAGTCTACAAAATGTAGTCAAAGCGCTCTAGCTTCTTTATCGCCCAACCTTATACCCTCCCTTTCTTTATAGGTGAAACTTGTTGCAATTTTATGGTGTATCATCCTTCTGTGGTTTCTTAATGGAGCAAATATATGTGCATTTATTTGTATTCCTGCTTGTCTTAGATAAGAGGTAGCATATTATAGAAAACTGTAGTGAATACAATTGTCTTCTTAAATTTTCCCTTACTACATCTTGGAGATCATTCTGTAGTATATAGTTTCCTTTTTCTGCTGATAGCTCCAGTGTATTCCATCTAGTCCTGTACTGTTTAGACTGTATACAATCTTTTGCTATTAAATATAATGCCAACAGAGTATGTTGTCAAAGTTTTGAATTTTTACTAATTGGATAGTTGAGAAATGGGTCATTTTAATTTGCTTTTTTCTTATTAGGAGCAAAGTTGGGCATATTTTCATATGACTAAGAGCCATTTGCATTTCTTTTTTCTATAAATATTGTCTCATCTCTGAGTGATATAGGTTTAACCTGTTTCTAAGGCTTAGTCTCTATTTTTAGAAGCTCTTTATATACTACGGATATAAACCCTATGTGACATAAGCTGAAAAAAAATTTTTTTTGCAGTTTCTTATTCTTTTACTTTGCTTTACACAAAGTATATTTTGCTGTGCAAATGTGGGTGTTTTAATGTTATTAAATTTATCAATCCTTTTCCTTACTGTTCTGAATTTGGAGTCATAGGAAATCTTTCCTTCCTCTCAGGTTGTAAAGTAAGTTTTCTTCTAATACATGTATGGTTTAATTTTTACACTTAAATCTTTGATCTATTTAGAATTTATCCTAGTATAATAGTATAAACAATGTTATACCAATATTATCTTTTTTCCTTTTGGCTATCTGGTGATCTCAACATCACTTATTAAAAAGTGGATTTAAGATGCCAAAGAAAGAGGGGCCGGCTGAGTGGCTCAGTT